CACTTACTTGAACCACTCCCTCAGACACCCATTTTCAGTTTAGGGTCCTCAATATTTCTCCTCATATGCGAAACCACAACTCTGCTAATCACAAATCTGGGCAATTCCAACAAAGTCACCTCCACACGCCCGATGGCAGTGCAAAATCCCAGGCATCTGCCAATAGTGTGCGCTTCATTTGTGGCACAGGAAAGAGCATGCAGGTTCCCTTACCTTTTGACATGCAGATTTTAATCACAGCTAGTTTCTAACCACGCCCATTTTTAGCAAAAAAGTATCATCAATCCTGACATTGTGTGTGGACACATGGACACCCAACAATGGTAGAACCATCAATATGAGCTCTTCTTTAGAACATGGGTCTGAACAACTGAAGCAGATACTGACTAAACAGAAAACAAGGTTCACAGTATCTAAAGCCACATATACTTTCAGTTCACATAACTCTGTAGAATAAAAACCAGAGAGCTGGTTAACAAGACTCCTTTCTAAAGAGAACCAAGAGGTAACACTATAATAGCATTGTAGAACCCAAGACCTAACAGTCACCAACTTCTCATTAATGACTTCTCAAAGAAGCCAACAGTGCATTGAACTGGCATTTTAAAAGCTACAAACGATCATTACCTTTAAAAATAAATTCTTACAAACAAAATAATGTCCCTAAAGCATTATACACATCTAAATACATATACATTATTAAAACACAACTGCATATTTCAAATGCTTGGCAGTGATTCCATTTTACATTAGAAAAGTTCATGGCGGGTTGCAGGCTAGCATGGCTGGACGCCAATCCATTATTCAAGCTTGGATTGGGAACCTATGCTATTCCATAGACGGACTGTGGAGAAATGGTTATATTATTTTAAAGGCGTGGTCTGATATTTTAATAAAGTCTGATTTAAGTATCAAGTACAGAAGCAAATCAAATATAAGTGCAGTGCAAGTATAATGAGTTAATATTAAAGGGTGGGAGACATCTTTAACTATAATCTAGAAATTTGCTTTGCTTTTGTAAGGATTTGTCATTGATGCTCTGAACTTTTTGTCCAGGATAACATGATCATAAATATTAATTTAAATAACAAAAACAAGAAATGTGCTGCTAATGTGGGATGATTTCATTAATCACAAGTCTAAGGCGAAATTCAACAGATACCATAAACTCCACTGACACCTACTTCAACAGGCCCTTTCCTCTCAATCAGGATTTCAACTCAAGCATGGCCTATACGGAGACCATATAATTTAACATCCCAATGAAGACATCTGAGTGAAAGGGAAGAGATGAAGATAGCATGCTCAAAAATGGGGAGTAAACTGGCACGTTTCCAACAACTCAGAGCATATGATCACTCTAAGGACAGACAAATGGTAGTGTTTGGAAGTCAAGAATATATCACACAGTAGCAAACAGCAAAGACTGCATCTACAAATGCTTGCTTTAGTGACACTGAGTAAAATGTACCTGTAACACAGTGGCACCGAAAAAAGAACAGTATCGCAAACAGATGAAGACGGTTTAGTTTCTGCACCTGAGGAACTGCTGACTGCACCATTCTGCCCTCAAGAAATAAGGAATTCTGCTTCTTGTGCTACACTCCCAGAAGACATTGAGTAGGGATCTTGGGTAAAGGAAAAACCAAGTGCAGAAGCAGCATCTTGGATTTCAGATATGGTACCAAGAAATACTGCAGATACACTTCTCTGTATTACTTTCAGTGGCTCAAAAGGGTCCATAAAGGCACAGTAAGCCCGAGTGTAGGCTTATTATATTTTCAGCTCAAACACACAGCTCAAGGATCTTCTAAGCAAAGTACTCAGTACTAATGGGAACAGTGAAAACCCAGGTGAACAAAGGGGAAGAGGAGGAACATGGAGGATCACCGGAGGATTCTGTGCAAGGGTGTGCCAAAATTAGCATCGACTATCTACAAACACAAGTCATATTTTACAATTTTTTAGGTTTTCTAAAATACTGAAACTTAACAGAAGGAGAATAACAGGATTCCCAATCCTCCCTGCCTCTTAAGTTATCACTTGCAAAAACATTCCACTGGAAAGAATAAAACTGAGGGCTGTTAAACTAACATGAAGAGAGGCGTATTGGGGGGGAAATAGGGAGGAAAGTAATCTCTCTCTCAAGTTTTAGAACATTTACCATAGCCTAACAAAATATTAAACTGAGGATTAGTTCCATTTATTGCATGTGTGTGTGTGTGTGTGTGTGTGTGTGTGTCCGTCCCTAAACGCCTAGAGGCAGACTTTTGAGCAGCATTCGCCTAGAAGGAACAATTCTGGAGAAAATGCTTCAGGTTCCTCTGACACCTTTCCTTGTCCTCCCAATGGGAGGAATAATTCATCTGATTATATAAGAAAGCCTGACATTTCCTGGGCCTTCTCTCTCGTGGGAAAAAGTGTTAAAAGCCACTATTCTCTATAAAGTCCAATTTTGGCTGCCAAGTCATATCCTCTAGTATTTTAAGGTTATCGGTTGTTTCAAATTCAACAAAGCACCATCATTTAAATATTTAATAAATAAGGAGAAGAAAGCAATAATGGCTTAAAGATGTACTTCGAGTCTGGTTTAAGCTAGTTTAGACTTGAATTCTAGTTCAGGCTCTGTGACTTTCAGTAGACCTCCGACCTTTGGTCTCATGTGCAATATAAAAAAAGTTGAGTATAACCCCCGTTTTTAAAATCACCAACTTTAACAAAACTTATCCTCTAGAAATTAAATGTGATGCTAAATAAAGGAAACTCATTTTACTGCCTATACCTGCAAAACCCCTCTCTTTAAGGGCAAGACTTCCAAAAGTGTGGTCTGTGGCCCACTGTGCCAGCTTCCAGGAACACCTGTGCAAATGGAAATCCGTGGCCCAGACCAAAGGGTCAGTGTTTGTGATTTGAGGAAGGGGACGGGGGAGAGGGTGTTTGCATGAGCTAATCTTTTAAAACAAGTCATGTAGGTGATTCTTAAGATCCTTACATTTGGTAATTCTAAGGCCTTGCTCTTCAGACTGGCATACTAGTAACCCTGGGCATAGACCAAGATTTTTTTCCATGGGAAAAGTAGATAGGGAATATCTATAAGAAAATCAAGTTAAAGATTTTTAATTACCATATGTACAGTCCAAAGATTTATATGCTCAGATAAAGGCTGTTCAGATCTAACACTTCCCTTTAATACTTTCCTTTCACCATCACCACACTCCCTATTTTCAAAAGACTGCCTCTCACACACCTAGAATTCTCCTATGGGGCACTGCCTCACAATGCCCCTAAAAAACCAACAACACAAGGACAAAAAACATACCAAAAAACTCAGAGCTCTCAAAAGAGGACAGAGTACAGTAAAGAGAGCTATAAGAATTCTAGCCTTATCTTTCTATCTCGGAACTGTAATGGAGAAGGTTGTGCCAGAAGTATATGTTAATAAATGTAATTAAAAAGTCAAACATTTTTTGACTGACTGAAAGTTAAGTCTGATTTGGCTCATTAACTTTGAGAACAGGCTTTGCCCGTTTATATGACAGAACATTTTCTACAAATTCCATCAACTCCATCTGCAGCTCCAAGTCTTTGATAAAAAATCTTTAAAGCACATACACAATGTACTGGATAGTATGTCCTCTGAAAGTACTTAAAACATTTAAATATACTGTGGGGCCTTGACTTACGAGTGTCCCGACTAACGAGTTTTTTGAGATACCAGCTGTCTCTCGGCTGATTTTTTGCATTGAGTTGATAGAGTAATTTGAGTTAACGAGTTCCTTAACGAGCTCGGTCTCGGAACGAATTAAACTCGTAAGTCAAGGCCCCACTGTACTTTTATTGATTTCAGAGAGAGGGAGAAGGATTGAAGCCATCAATGATGAGAGAATCATTGATTGGCTGCCTCCTGCATGCCCCCTACAGGAGATTGAGCCCACAACCCAGGCATGTACCCTTGACTAGAATTGACCCCGGAACCTTTCAGGACACAGGAGAATTCTCTATCCAGAGCCTAACCAGCTAGGGCAAAAATTTATTCTTAAAATTCAGATGTCCAATGAAACATGTGCCAAAAGGAAAACTAATCTAGGGTGAGAGCCGTGAAGTGGTAGGACTGTCTTGGAAAGGGGCACAGGGAATATTCTAAGGTGACAGGTGTTCTTCTAGAGCTTGGTTTGGGTAGTAACATGTCTACAGAAGGGAACACTATTGTTCACTAGTTATACCTCAATTTTCAAAATGTGCAAAAGATTACATATACTTGCAAAATTATTTTAGGGGTCTGTTAGCAAAAAATGTTTGATAGCATTATTCTCAGCACACATGGAAGAAATCTGTTTTCTAAGACTTGTCTTTTGGCTTCTCTGAACCATGCAGCCTGATTGCCAACATATAAAGTGATCTATAGCACTATATAACTTGACTAATTAGATTATTTTTTCCCATTGTTAGCTTTGCTATATTTCTAATAGCCACCGGGTTTAGATGCCTAAGAACATTCCTTAACAGGATGTAAAGTATAGCATAAGTTACAGAGTCAATAATATTGTAATAAGTATACATGGTGTCAAGTGAGGGTACTAGACTTACGGAAGGATGGATCACTTCATAAATTATATATGCAAGCACTATGCCATACACCTGAAGCTAATATAATATTGAATGTCAACTGTAATTGAATTAAAAATGAACATTCCCGAACAGAAAATAATAGAAAATAAAATTAACTAAAGAAATGTTAATTTTCAAGTAAGTAAATAAATGAACATATTTTTGTTTGTACTAATAGTTGCTCCTTCTTAGACCCTAATTTTTTTTTTAACCTCACCCAAAGATTTAAAAAAAAATTTTTTTTAATTGATTTCAGAGAGAAGGGAGAGGGAGAAAGAGAAATATCAATAATGAGAAGGGTTGAGCCCACAACCCAGGCATGTGCCCTAACCAGGAATCGAACTGTGACCTCCTGGTACATGGTTGAAGCTCAACCACTGAGCTACACCGGCTGGGTGAGGATTTTTTTTTTTAATTATTGATTATAGAGAGAAAGAAGTGGGAGAGAAATAAGGACCGGTTTCCTCATGTATGCGCACCAGCTAGGGATTGAACCCGCCACCTGGGTATGTGTCCTGATCAGGAATTGAACCCAAGATCCTTCGGTGCACAGGATGGCATCCAATCAACTGAGCCACACCAACCAGGGCCCAGATCCTCAGCTCTGAAGGGAGATGAAGTGATTAACGTATCTTTTTATGCTGAGTCCCCAAATTAATAGTCTAGTTCTAAAGAACTCATTCTCAATTTACAAGCAAAAACGTTCTGAAACACGCCGTTTACATGAATAAATAATGGGTCAGACTGAACAAAGATGCTCAAGACTGACGTTTTGAATACATGACCTGACCTTGTTAATATTGTTAAAATTCACCGATTCACAGCTATGCTATAAAAACCCTAATAACCAAATGAATCTCTTTCTTGCACGCAGGGCATGAAGCCCCAGTCTTCTTTAATCTTCTGGCACACTGAAAACAAGTGACAAGATGGCTCGTCCTTCCATGAATAATGTTCCCGTCTCGTGGTCTTTTCTCACATACACTGCAGGGCTTCAGAAGATTCCGGCAATCCTCCATGCTTCCTGTCACTGTTCTCTGCTGGAAAAGGTTAGCTGATTGTTCTCCCATGCTTGACACAGTCTCTTGACTTTCAGAACTGTGAGCCAAATCCAAGAACTCCACCGAGTTGCAGGGATCCAAGAGTTTGGGGTTTTCTTCTTTTTTATATTTATCTTTAGGTATAACAACTGGAGCTGATATGGTTCTGCGGCAATCAGGAATATCAATTCCTTCATTTTCCTTCTCTTCGGGTATGGCAGTGATATCAGACGTGGAGAGAGAATGCGTTAACTTAGAACAATCTGAATACCAATCCTTCCTTAAGGCCCAGCACCGAAAACAGTACCTCTTGCTTGGAGAGTTAAATTTCTTGCACTCAGTACACTGCCACTCATCCTACAAAGGGAAGTGCAGCCAATTAATACTCAGTGGGGAACATGACTGAGAAAAAGGGAGGGTGGGCCAAACTCTCATCATTTCACTAAGCTAATGAGAGCACAGACAGTCCACACCACAGGTCTAGCCTAGAATTAAAATACATTGTACAGCCACTTTGACAGTGACACAATTGCCAATTCAAGCCAAAATTTAATATAGCAATCTTTTTTAAAAGTTAAATTATTTTGGCTTTTTAGTATGAATGGAATTTACATTGTTTGCTTTTCTGCTTTCTTTTTAGGTCATTTCTCTTTTTACAACTAACACTTATGTTGAGAGGCTAAAGAATGAAGAGATACTACTGTCATTCTTTTCTACCATTTAAGAAATGTTATAAAATCTGGCAAAAAAGCTACAATTATGATTTAGAAACTACTAACTTATTTATTCATGCTTTCTCACTGCTCAGGATCTTAGGTAGCTAACTGTATGCCTAAATCACACCCTCAAAAAACGAATGTTCTTTAAAAAAAAAAAAATGTTCTTGTCCTTGAATGCCAAGTTAAGTTTTTCCTAGTTCTCCATATTAAAATTAAGAGATACTAGAGCTCAGCCCTGACCAGTTTGGCTCAGTGGATAGAGCATCTGCCTGCGGACTAAAAGGTCCCAGGTTCAATTCCAGTCAAGGGCATGTACCTTGGTTTCGGGCACATCCCCCGTAGGGGATATGCAGGAGGCAGCAGATCAATGTTTCTCTCTCATCGATGTTTCTAACTCTCTATCCCTCTCCCTTCCTCTCTGTAAAAAAATCAATAAAATATATTTAAAAAATTTAAAAAAAAGAGATACTAGAGCTCAATAAATTTTACGTGACTTGCTTAATTCAAAGGTAGCTACCTGGAACAAGTCCAGATATTTAATGTGATCAAAGCCTGGCTTTCACAGGATCAATGATTTGACTGACTTGACTGCTTTCAGAATGAAGATCAATCAAGCACTTCAAGTTTAGAAGTTATATCTCAATTGCCAAGCCCAAGAAGCAGGGACACGACCATTTGTTAAACTGGGATGTTCACCAGAGAGTCTCAAAACATTCTTGTGCCAGTTGAAGATCCTCAGCTCTCATATGAGTACTACACAAATACTCAAAGGTACTTCATAAAGATTTGGAATTCATAACTGATGATGTCTCATAGTCTAATTGGCATCTTTTCTTTTCTAGTAGTACATAAAATAATAGGGTTTGTTAAAGTCAATGTCATCTTTGATTTGATAAAATACGGCCTATTTGCTTAATAGGTTTTCTTGGTCCAAATAGCCATAGAAGCCCGATGAAGATGGAAACACTTACCCTGCTACCTGTATTACGGTCAAGAACACTTAATGGATCAATATATTCCACTTTATTACCTAGCTATGCACAGATAATTTGCAGTGAATTACCATAATGGTCAACCAGTGGTGGGGTGGGAGTGGGAGAGGGATCAACACCAGAGACAACCTAAAATTTTTCCTATCCTCAAGCAGTGAAAAGTAAAATCAACCTCCTTATCCTTCCCTTACCACCCCTCTTTTTTCTAGTGAGTTAGCTGAGGGGAACACTAAACGGAAAATGAGGACCTAGCATGAAAACAGAAAAGGAACACATTTGAGTCTAAACATTAGTTGTTAATTGGTGACAAATCCATAACTATTACCTAAAAGCTTAATACTAAATCATTTCTTAGCCTTCAATTAATATAAACCTGTGTGGAAACAGCCTTTCCATTTCTTTTTAAGAAAACATTAAAAATATAATTTTTATACCAACAAAAAAATTTTAGATAGCTTTTAAGTCTATCCTTGGCACTGCAGAAGTGTTAGTGGGAAAAGCAGTGCAGTACTATCCTGAATAACTGTACCCATTGCATCGTGTCCAAAAGGTTTTTATGGCAGGGAGAAAGGCACACAGAGAGGCATTTAAGTCATCCCTTTTCAAGATAAGAATAGATCAACTCATCTCTTCTCAAATTCTAATAAAAACCTCTAACAAAATGTAAAGAAACCAACATCTCTTAACACCCAGGAAAGGTAAACAAAAATGGGGGGAAACAGCATTCTTCACAGTGAACTGTTGGAACATTACCATCTCAGACTAGAGAATCGTACCTCAGAGGCAACCTCTACATCAGTATCATCACATATGGACTTAGAGTCCTCAAGGTCATCACTTTTTCCCACTTCAGTCACCTGTGACAGCAAAGATATCTCATTAGTAAGGTTTACCTGTTTCACATGAATTTATTACCTGAGAACAGAAAAGATGAAAGAGCTTCAATTTAAAGCTCACATCCTGCCTCCATCATTAACACTTTAAAAGGAGATAGCTTAAATATGAGGCCAAAAATGATACTGTACACACCTAGCACCCAGAGGGTTACCAAATATCTTCTGCATTCAGAAGGAAGAGGATGCCCCCAAGTTACGACTTAAAAAAAAAAAAAGCCCTGACTGGGATGCCTCAGCTGCTGCATGTCATCCTGTGCACTGAAAGGTTGCGGGTTTGACTCCAAGTCAGGGCACATGCTGGGGTTGTGGACTCGATCCCCGGCAGGAGGCGTGCAGGAGGCAGCTGATCAATCGATCTCTCTCTCTCTTCAAAAATCAATTTTAAAAATCTTAAAAAAAACAACAACAGTATTAGAGAAGAAAAGTCACAAATTATTAAATGTGGAAATTTATCTTGGGAATCTAAGTAGGCACTGTAAAAGCAGTGTATAAAATAAGAAATTTAGATGTGAAAAATAAAAACAAAGTATTTTAAAATGTTATTCTTCATATTCAAAAGTACAACTAGTTATGTAATGCTCTAGCTGTCCTATAAAAACATGCCTACAGACCAAAAACAAAAAGAAATGTGGGAAGTGTCTTCTAAATTTTAAAATTTAGAATTTAAAATTCTAAAAATTAAAACCTTAGTTTTATGACACAGTATGTGGAACAAAAACCAATTATAATACAATTATGACCTTCTGTATAGCAACTTTGTCACAATAGTTTAAGTATTTTAAGTCCCATCTCTCTATAGAAGTTTCCAAATGTCAACTTTGTCTTTATTCTAGCCACCTGCATTCTCTTCTAATGCTACCCATATAACTAGTCTAAGAGAACCCAACCATCTATCTGCCCACCATAAACATACAGAACATCCCCTTCAGGAACCCAAATTACTATGAAAATCTCTTAAAAGAATGATCCACCCTAGTCGGTTTGGCTCAGTGGATAGAGCGTCGGCCTGCGGACTGAAGGGTCCCAGGTTCAATTCCGGTCAAGGGCACATGCCAGGGTTGCGGGCTCGATCCCCAGTAGGGGGTGTGAAGGAGGCAGCCAATCAATGATTCTCTCATATCATTGATATTTCTCTCTCTTCCTCTTCCTTCCTCTCTGAAATCAATAATATAGATATAGATATAGATATAGATATAGATATAGATATAGATATATGACTGATCCAATATAGTTCTGTTTTTGCTCTATTTATTCAGTGGATATTTACAGAGACTCTTGACCATAGATATAGATATGCTTCCCAATTTATTTTGAGACTTGAACACATGCTTGTATGACTCTTCATCTGGTGTATTCCCACTATGCACTCAGAATTCTAGCTCCCTCTTTCCCCCTATTTAAAATCTATAATGGAAAACTCATCTAGTTCCCTTTGGGTATAAAATAGTTATGAAAGCTATTGACACATCCAAGAAATACGAATTTTTTCTCTCTACAGGCTGTTGTGGCCATTTAGAACCTTGCACTGTTAGCAACACAAAGTCTCCACAAGAAAAAAACTATACAATGAGAAATTAGGCAAGTAGGAAAAGTGTAGATTATTGCTTCTAACAAAGGAGGAGCTTTACCCATGGAGTCCTAGCCTATTTTTAAGGCAGCCTTGGTTAACTGAGTGTAAATCCTAAAATTAGATATAGATAAATACTAAGTAAGAAAGGGAGTAGGTGGGGTGATTATGTGAGTCCTTTGTTGTATAAAGCGGAATAGAATAGGTCTCGTCACCAGATATGAATAGAATATACTACACACACATAAATACAACCAATGTGACATATTTCCACAACATACCATTTTGTCTCTCACTTTCCCTACTTCTTCACTTGTTTGTTCAATATCAGCAGCTTCAACTTTTATTCCAGCACCAAACTGCTCTGATACTGACTCATTCAAAAAACACACGTCATCTGTCGTATCTGAAACAATGACAGTACCTATATCCTAACAGAAAAAACAAACGAGGTTTTGTAGTCAGAGGCTTATCAAAGACATTGAACCAACATAAATGAACCCAAAACTCAATGTCCTCACATATTCCCAAACACCCAGCCTTTCTCCAATGGACATCTATTCATTCAACAAATACCTGCTGTGTAAAAGCTAATGGATATACAGATGCCTGGTAAGAAATTTTGTTTTTCTTTTTAATTTTGAGAGTATGTTTATTAAAGCTGAGGACAGTTGGAATTTTGTATTTTAACAGTAAATCAAGTATAACATCTGAGAAACAGTACTGAAGAGTCTAAAAGCTAAAGACTCATAGTTGTTCAAGTAAATAGAATCCATTCTCTGCATTCCTTTCCATAAGTGGCACTCTGAGAACCTAGCAAACATCCTATTAATTGTAAGATATCCCTCCTTTAATGGTCAATGCTTAATGAAGAAAAATGAGAAATACTGACTCAAACCTTCTCTCCGCTTTCTTAAACAACTTTAAATATAACTTTCTTTCTACATTCAACTATGGACATTTATGACATGCTCTTCTATAATATTCCTATGAAATAACTTATTATTTTGCCATTATATGTCCCTTCATTTACTGAAGAAATACTAACTGAACGACTATGATGTGTCAACTATTTGGCAATAGAATGGTTAATAATATTAAAGCCCTGGACTTACATTTCAGTGGGGATAAACAGTCAATACACACATAAACATGATAAAATAATCATTTTACAAAGTGAGAAGTGCAATGGAGAATATAAAATAAGATAAAGGAGCAGAATGACAATGGCTTAAATTGTGGTATGACAGTGGAAGTAATAAAAAGTGGTTGGCTAGGTTTTGGATGTTTGGATGTTGTGGCATATGACAGAGAAAGAAATCAACCAAATGCTACTATTTTCCAAAGAAAAAAAGAAGTTTCTCTTCAAACATGAAATTTACCTGATTTGTCTGTAAATCAGTTGAGCCATTACTTCTAGGTGTATAACTGTTTCTCAAATTTCCTAAAAACCACCATGGCCAGCCAGCTACATCCCACTCCTCAAGCCCGAGGTCCAGCCTAGATGTCTCGTCTACAGAAGTCAAATGAAAAGCATAACTATGTACACAAGCCTTAAGCATCAAGACTCTTTATAATACTTACAATCTCTTTATAAGTAAAAAGTCACTCCTGCTCCCAGTAAGGACGAATCAGAAACCAAATACCTGTCTCAGTTGCAGAGCTCACATCTACTCTCCTGTTTAGACTTTATTAGCTATTTCAGAGTTAAGGTATCTAAAATCTACAAATACTGCAAATCCAAAATACATTAAGGCCCCACATATTTCAAGTAGAAGATCCTGTGTCTGAAATCTAAATGACACTCAAGGCAGTTACTAACATATGTTTGTTGCTACCAGATGAAATTCTTTTCTTTCTTTGCCATCATGCAATCTTTTTTTGTGCTTTGCTTGTTTCCTACTTTCTTCCTCTCCACTATCTCTTCTTCCAATGTACTAGACATACCAATGGCGGCCACAGGTGTTTAAATGTGCTGAGGTACATACACATGGTTTAAAAGATTTCTGCAATAATGGGTCCCTGCTAGAATAAAAGTTTACCCTATCTACTTACAAATTATGTTGATCCTGTCTATAAAAAGGTATATCAGTGCTCAGGGAAACTTCAACCATCTTTTTACTTACTCCTTGCTGAAGTTACCAGAAACCAAACTCCTAAGACAAATATTAAAGTTATCTTCACACATTTGTAATACCTTAACTAATAAAGAATTTTAAAAAAAAAGTTATCTTCACCTAGTTAAGCTCTATAACTTTATGCAGGGAATGGAAATAGGCCATTCTTTCCACATATAAAAATTTTGACCTCTCTACCTATCTATCTCCCTAAAAATACTAAGCTATTTATTCTCAAAGCTTACATCATAAACTACATATAGTCTCTTGAATTGGCTGTTCTTATGTTTTAAACAGCCTTCTAAGTTGAAAATAAGCAAAGACCTGCATTTAAAGAAACAAAATTCTACATTAAATGCCACAGACTGGAATAAGCTCTAAGGCAATTAGGTAGCCCAATATTCAGTTTACACTGAAATGAAACTTGGGAAAACAAATACAGAAATTGATTCAGTTTTAATGTAAACATTTAAAACAATTTCAACAGCGTAACTTTCCTGCCACTGCTCCAAATGTGAGCCTAGACTAGAAACCATCATGATATAAGGGCCTTTGAGGAATTTTTTATTTTATACATTTTTGCAGAAAATAATTTAGGGGATATTTTATAAATAGGGCTTGGGAAAACTTCCAATATATCACTAATTTAACTTAACCATACCACATCTGTATGTATGGCAAAGATCTGATTACTACCACCCAAGGGCAAAGGAATTACCAGGCTTCTATGTCTCATTCTTGGCTCTGAGATAGTCAGTATATTTTATCATGTTTGCAAACTTCAAGAATCTATGAAAATTTGCATCAAGCAAATCAAAATAAAAATTCTAACCAAATCAAGTATGTATATGGGTACCAAGATTTAAAAGACCAAAGTAGCCCTAACTGGTTTGGCTCAATGGATAGAGCATCGGCCTGCGGACTCAAGGGTCCCAGGTTCGATTCTGGTCAAGGGCATGTATCTTGGTTGTGGGCACATACCCAGTAGGGAGTGTGCAGGAGGCAGCTGATCGATGTTTCTCTCTCATCGATGTTTCTAACTCTCTATCCCTCTCCCTTCCTCTCTGTAAAAAATCAATAAAATATATATTAAACAAATAAAAGACCAAGGTAGCTAAGTGACCAGGTGGCAAACTGCTAAGTGGTAGCCATCTTCGCTTAGCTTACCAGCTAAAGGAAGGGTCTGCGCCAGCCCAGTAACCTGGGTTGCTAAGAGCACTACCATCCTCTTCCCAGTTAACAACAGTGACAGGATTTAAAGAAAAAGATTTTCAGAAAAGAATGAGGAAGAAGTATGACATATGCACCTCCTACTTCACATGACGAGACAGCATTATATTTTTTATTTCTCTATATAATGGTATTAATTATAGCCAGTGCTTAATTTGGACAGATGTCATTCCTAGAAGTTATCAACAGAAAAATCTACATAGCTTTAATCCAAACGTACCTTCTCTGGAATGTGTGCATTTGTTCTGTGAGGTAGGCAGTGTGGGAATATTGCCTTCTTCGGTACTTTTCCTGGAACTGGGCCTTTCCTCTGCACTTTGCTGAAAAGAAGGGAAAGGCGCCTATCAGTGCAATGGAAACGACTGAGACCAGGGGATGCAGCAGTTCCTTTCTGGCTCACCAGTCAGTGTGCCACACAATGGGTTACACACAAGAAAGAGAACTCGCATTCACCACAGTCATCAAATAAAGGCAACATCTCAACCCATTGTGAGCAGAGCTAAGACAATTGCAAACCTGGGGGGAGAAAAAAAATCTCTGCACAAAAGACCAAAATGTACTGTTAAAAATAAACTATCAATATAAACCCTTTAGCCTATTACATAATTAGGAATAATTCAGAAAACATGTGAAATCCTCACCATATACCAAGATGATCATAAGGTTTTCCCAGGTTTGGGGAAGCTTTAAGAATTGGCCTGACGTGAACTGAATTCCAACAAGCCTGTTAAAATCTAATAAAAGCAGTTTCCTCCAACACCTATGAATGTACACTGTCACACACACACAAGCGCACACACAAAGAAGATGCAACTGGAAGAACTGAAGATCAGAAGTGCTACATCCCAAAGAAAGATTCAGAGACTGGAACTCTGTTATGGACAGAACAGAGAATTTTCACTCTGTCCCTGGTCTGTGAACTCCCAAGAACCTTTATTAAATTCTTACCACATTCAGCAAGAGGTCTTGGGAGTCCAAGATCCATAGGTACAGAGAAGGGGCCACTCTGTACAACAAAAAAAGTCACCATGTGGTGATTTTACCTTCAGGTGGTCTTGACTTGGAATATCCAGATTTTGATCCTGTGCGATAGCGAGAGTCTGAGCAGCATCTGGATAGCAAGTAAAACAAAAGGAAAACCTTCCCTGGTAATAGCCATTCTTCCCACACAGAAAGGACCTCAGCAAACAACCCTGGAGCCAGGTTTGGTCCCTAGAGAAGTACCTCTCCATGTTGGTTTAACAAGGCTCTCGTCCAAAAGAAATGGAAAAATCAAAATTGGTAAAAACCACAAAAGCCAAAACAGGCTATATTCAAAATATATTACCAAAATATAATCTGGGGGAAATGAAAGATAACCAAAAAAATGTCCTTCCATAGCAAGCTTTCAAATTTTAATATGAAAAGTGATTTCAGGAGGAAATAATGGTGCATATTTTTATCATCTCTTCCTATAGGTATTTTATTACCAAATTTGCCTAAGTTGTAAACAACAAAAAGAAAAGGCCTGGCTTTTTCATTTAATTTTTCTTCTCAAATGTTAAAAAGTTATAAAGGGGAATGAAATCCGAAAATCTGGAATTTCTCACTTGCTTCATAAAACACAATACCATCTTCATGTAAACTCACATTCTAAATGTCAATGATTTCACAATTTAAATTCCCAACACCTGAATATAGTTAGGTTTTTAAAAATCAACAAGTCTTATTTTTTCCAGTTACTATAAACATTTTCTAAGAAGGACAAGGAAGCAGAGAAAGTTTTTCTCAAGACCAATAAAAAGAAAGAAAGGAAACAATAACCTAAGAGAAATTCTTAGTCCGAAAGAAATGTATTTCAAGGACTTGGAAATTTTCAAGCAGAACAAAAGGTGAAAGCTTAGCTTCAGAGAATTTAATGATCTGGACCACTCAGAGGCTATGCATAACTGAGATGCTTATATGTAAGCCTATCATAGATTGGGTTCATCGGCTACTATCAGGTCCAGAGATCTTACGGAAAATAATCCTCCTCTAAATAGACTGGCAGAGAATACAGATCCTACAACTGGTCTCACAATTCAGTTGTTTTGCACAAAACATTTTCGAAATTGTAATTATAAAGAGCATTATTTCTAGAAGTACTGTTATAAACAGAGATACTGAGTTTAAGAGATAGCATTTTCTGACCACAGTGGTCCTCAAAGCTCAGTTAGCATACAACACAGATGAAGCACTTCTTTACTGCCATTTGATTACTATCATTTATATTCTAAAGCCTTATTCAGTTATAACGATTAGGAGTAAAAAAGAAGTTATCTGAGAAAACTGTAATATACATAGGAATTCTTAAATGCAAAGTTTGTCATATAAAATTCATTTTATCACGATGCATGTGGAAATTTGTAGAAATGGTTTGTTTGTAAAGAACCACCATCATTTTAAATAATATTTTCCTCAGTCATCAAAATAAAGCATTTAGCTCATTTGCAAAGGTGTAAAATAGGTATATGGAAAGCACTCGTCTCATTTGTCCTTTCATATAAAACAGCACAGGTGACCCATTTTACAAAGATCAACCACAGGTACTAACCCAAGTGCAAACCAGAAAACCAAAGTAACTTGTACTGTGGTTCTATAAGGTCTGGATAAAGAGTATAAGGAACTCTCTATAATATTTTTGCAGTATTTTTGTAGGTGAAATTATTCCAAAATGACAAGGTGAAAAATAAGATGTTTTACAGATTTAATGTTCAGAGAAAAAATGTGTTTAAAAAATTGATTGGAGCAAATTCTATTATAAGCAAGGATTAAGGAGGCAGCAATGTGTGGCACAATGGGAAAAAAAAGGGGGGGGGGGTTGGCCAATCAGAAATATCTCCCGTACCACTTAATCAGTGGCATCTGATCTTGGACTAGTCACTCATTCTATTTTTTAAAATCTTAGTCTCTTCATCTCCAGACCTTCCTTCCCCACAGGGCTGGGGTGAGGATCAACTGAAATGTTTGCTATAGAAATGTTCATTTTAACACATGGCATGTTAAATTCTGCAAAGGAAGTGCAAGAAAGAAAATGAGAGACAAAAGGTGAGAATTATACTTACTCTAGATATTCAGAGAAAGATCAGAAAACAAATTTTACTGTAAAGTAAAGGAGCAAATATAAAATCCTGTGTATTTCAAGCCTATAGTGAGTATCCCAGAAAAGCCATACTATTTTTCAAATGACTGAATTTTAATAAAGAGCCACATCATTCCCAAAGCCTTCCCTATCAAATAAAAATTTACAGCTGGGTAAAGTGGGCAAAGACAATGAAATCAACAAGCTTCAAAATTCAATATAAGTTCAAAATCACATTTCAATGAGAGCAACGTCTCATTTAAAGTGTAAATCTTTATTAGAAATACATTTTTTTTCAAGCTTATTTGTTTCAATAACCTACTGAAAGATAGCCAATCGAAAGTGCTGTCTTAAGGGGAAAAGTTTCATTATTTGGAAATGAGACAGGGCTGCATTTCAGTTGTCTCCAGTTTATTAATTCACTTATCTCTAGCACACCACACTTCAGATCCAAAGCAGTCAGTTTCCTGCACATACCTAATAAATTAAACTCAAAGTGCAGGATTTAAAAGGTATACAATCAATCAAAGGGTTAGACAAATTGGCCTTCAAATAACAGAAAGCGCCCTAGCTGGTTTGGGTCAGTGAATAGAGCGTCAGCCTGGGAACTGAGGGGTCCCAGGCTCGATTCCAGTCAAGGGCACATGTCTGGGTTGCAGGCTTAATTCCCAATAGGGGGTATGCAGGAGGCAGCCAATCAATGATTCTCTCTCATCATTGATGTTTCTTTCTCTCCCTTTCCCTTCCTCTCTGAAATCAATAAAAATATATTTTAAAGAAAAAGACAAAAGCATTAAAAAAAATGTTTTCAAAGAATGAAATGGGTGAATATTCACAACATATTAAGTTTTTTAAAAAATAAATAACAGAAAGCTAAAACTATTAAGTGAAAGGTTCTTGGGGGACCTTTATAATAGATGGATCAAGCTGACACCATGTAAGCCCACAGACTCTTACCACTGAAAGGGCACAAAGACCTTACATGACTCTGAAGTAATGCAACAGATGTACAGAAGCACCCCCATGAAACCTTCCCAGAAAAAAATTTAAACTTGAATCTATTCAAGCACTACTAGTTATCAAAGATAGAACAGAGAAACATGTTAAACAACATCACAATCTACAAACTCTAGAATGACATGCTATAGGACAAATGATTCATTTCTTCACCAAATAAATGAAATAAAAACAAAGGAGTGTTAGCAACCAAATGTAGTGTGGGAGCTCTGAATTAAATGTGGATTTTGAACAAGCCAAATGTAAAAGATATTTTTGCGATAAATGGGGATAACTATACATAAACTGGCTTTTGGATACTATTATGGAGTTTTTTAGTTTATCATTATTTTGTTTGGTGTAATAATGGCACTATAGTTATGCTCAAAGGAAAAAAGACGGGATCTGTTAGCAATTTTTAAAGTATGCCTACATAAAGCAAATATGATCAAATGTTAACAATTGCTAAGTCCAAGAGGCGCACACATTAATTATACTAATCTATCTTTAGTATATTGGAAAATTTTCACAATTAAAAGTTAAGTGACGTAGTAATCACATTCTGTGTGATGGTATCCCTCCCAGTCATGCCAAGACAGCATTCCATCTCCACCTTGATCCTTGTTTTCCTTCCCATCATTTGCCCCCTTGAACTTAAAGCTGTGATATAGACTGAAAAAATATGATGAGACATACCTGCAGTAGCAGTGGTTAAAGCGACAAGATTCTTTCTTAGCATAGCATAGAGAGGGCTGTTAAGGAGATAAAATAAAAAATTAATAACCAATAGTTTCCCATTAAAACGTTAAGTGAATTTCTCAAACACTATCTCTGAACTTCATAACATATGGAGAGACAGAATATTTTCCCCAAAATAAATCTTTTATTATTTTTTTAAATTGATTTTAGAGAGAGGAGGGGAGAAAGAGAAACATCAATTGGTTGCCTCCTACACATGTCCCAAGTAAGGATCAAACCCTCAACCTGGGTATGTATCCTGACTGGGTGTATGGGATGGGAGGGGCTCCAACCAACTGAGCCACACCAACCATGCAGAACTCTTGTAATTATTAAAATATCAAGATGCTCTCAGTGGTTGAGCATTGACCTATAAATCAGAAGATCACAATTCAATTCCCAGTCAGGGCACATGCCCAGGCTGCAGGCTTGATACCCAGTAAAGGCAGCCAATCTAATAATTCTCTCTCATCATTGATGTTTCTATCTCTCTCCTTCTCCCTTCCATTCTGAAATCAATAAAAAATATATATTTTTAAAATTAATTAATTGACATTTTATTAATTTAGCTAAGAGTAACTCAAGTGGGGAGATTTCCTTTGCAACTATTCCTTTCTTCTAGGAGTTAGTTGGGGTGTGCAGGTGGAAGGGAGTCTTACCAAAGAAAGACAAAATGAAGCTATAGAAAGTCATCACAAAGATATAGAAAGAGAACACTGCTTCTCACTTGCTAATTAGCCTTTGATTGTATAAATACCCAAATTCCCCATGCAGCTGGAGAAAGTCACACAAGTCATAAAAATCACAGTAGGAGTCCATCATCAATCTCAAGCTGCCCAGCAATTCTACATTGCTCATCATCTCACTGTCCCTCTCTCTACAACTGTTTCACAAAATTCTAACCTAGTCACATCAAACCCCCTAATATCCAATCCTTCACACGTGATGCTCAATTGGCACTAAGCCCTCCTTCAACCAGCCTCTTCTACTTGAATCCTGACTCCTTAATTATCCTTCAGCTCTCAGCTCAAATAATCAATTTCTCTAGGAACCTTTCCTTGATCCCGAAGACCATAAACCCACCCCTAGTATAATTTTACCTTATAGTGTGATAATTTGATTAAGATAGGGAAGAGCACCTGTCTCAGTACACTTTAATTAAGCTCCATAAATCAGAAACTATGGCTCCCTACTATGTTCTCAGTGCCTCATAGGCCACCTGACATATGTAGGTCCTTAAATATTTGTTGACTAAAGGAATAGATAACCACTAATAACTTATGAAGATCAAGTAGTTAGGTATAAGCACCCCCCTCTTTTTACCTTGGATCTTTCACAGAGAAGCTCTGACATCCTAGGAGTTCTCCCAAAAGATCTCCACTACAATATACCATATGCTGCTCCCGAGGATCATAAAGCTGCTTCATTGTTATATATTGGCCTAGAAAGTGCATGACCTGCACAGAAATAAATTATTATTAAGAGTTCTGTCCAGCTGCTGTCAAAACACACAAATTGCCTGGCTAGCGTGGCTCGTGGTTGAGCATCGACCTATGAATCAGGAGGTCAGTTTGATTCCCAGTCAGGCACATGCCCAGGCTGTGGGCTCAATCCCCAGTGTGGGGTGTGCAGGAGGCAGCCAATCAATGATTATCTCTCTTCATTGATGTTTCTCTCTATCCCTCTCCCTTCTTCTCTGAAGTCAATAAAAATATTTTTAAAAATACACAAATCCTATATAACAAAAGCCCAATATGCTAAGTGTCCGGTGGACCAGTCAGCCATTCAACCAATCAAAGCATAATATGCTAATGACACGCTAAGGTCCTTCCACCACTCCTATGACGTGCACTGACCACCATGGGGCAGATGCTCCAACCGGTAAGTTAGCTTGCTGCTAGGGTCTGGCTCATCAGGACTAAGCAAGATGGGCCAGACATGCCCTGGAGCCCTCCTGCGGTCCCTCCCCGGCCCAATCATGCACCAGGCCTCTGGTTAATTATAAGGAGACTAGAGGCCCGGTGCACGATATTCAGCCCAGCCTGCATAGTCCGGGAACCCTCAGGGGATGTCTCATGGCTTAGGCCTGACATCCTTAGCACTGCTGCTGAGGCGGGAGAGGCTCCCGCCACCACTGCTGCACTTGCTAGCTGTCAGCTTGGCTTGTGGCTGAACAGCACTCCCTCTGTGGGAGTGCACTGACCACCAGGGGGCAGCTCCTACGTTGAGCATCTGCCCCCAGGTGGTCAATGTGCGTCATAGAGACCAGTTGTTCCGCTGTTCTGTTATTTGCATATTACCCTTTTATTATATAGGATAAGGTAAGTTAGGTTTATTAGAGGAAGAGGTAACATAAAGGTCTGGGGTCCTGCCCTAACCGGTTTGGCTCAGTGGATAGAGCATCAGCCTGCGGACTCAAGGGTCCCAGGTTCGATTCCGGTCAAGGGCATGTATCTTGGTGGCGGGCACATCCCCAGTAGGGAGTATGCAGGAGGCAGCTGATCGATGTTTCTCTCTCATCGATGTTTCTAACTCTCTATCCCTCTCCCTTCCTCTCTGTAAAAAATCAATAAAATATATTTAAAAAAATAAATAAAGGTCTGGGGTCCTACAACAGGTAACTGAACCCAAATACTAGGTTCATCCACTTATTATCATTCTGGACATTAACAGAGCCTTAAGTTTTATAATAGAAATGTATTAGTCTGACAATGAGAAAAAGTGGTGAATTTACCTACTGTCACCTTTAAAATATTCTCACTAATCCAAATAAAGGGGTCTCTCCTATTACTCAAAGGCATAAACTTTAAATTTGCCTGGGTCATAAAAATATTTTGCAAGTCCAGGGGTACATAACTACGATAGACTTACTGTGTGTTCACATAATTATTTTTGACAAATGAAGTACAATGGTTAATAAACTATAAGTGCATAAAACAGACTTTAAGTGTTTATCAAAAAATTTAATCTATCTGGCTTTTCTTACAAGTTCACAAAATGGAAGGAAACAGACAAGTTCATGATTCAAAACTTAAAAATGATCTAATTTTATCCTAATGTTTTCTCTAGGTAACAGATTTTTTTTAATTGCTTAATAATTAAGGTCACTTAATGACAGTAAGAATTTTGCTATCTCAGATTACAAGCAGACCAAAGCAGCGATCTTTATCTTTAGGCCCCAACTTCTCAGAAATTATTAAATATCTGCACAGAAATTTGTTACCTACACTGTTCCCATTATATTAGGAGCAATGATGCTCCTGGGCTCCGGAGCCCTCCATCCCAGACAATGTGTCCCAGTATCAGCAAAGTTCCCCTACCTAATCAAATACCTAGAGAAAAATAAGATGGGGAAGAGCATCTACTAGAAGGAAAGGGGGGACATATTTATGTCTGCCCAACTTTTAGTAAAAAAAAAAAAATAATAATCCATTCTAAGTACACAAAATAAAATCCTCTAAAACACTACTCTAAATCTGTATATACTGCCTTAATACCCATACTAACAACAAATATTTAAAAATATTTAGGGGATTCCTCTTTATGCACCTGGTAGGGTCAATTCATAACATAGAGTTCATGTAAACTGACTCTATCCAACTTTTCCCCCAGTAAACACTGCCATGCTATTGAAGCTAGCATAACTCATAATTTTGATATAAAAATCCACACTTTGCCTGGCTGGCGTGGCTCAGTGGCTGAGGTCAAACTATGAACCAGGAGATCATGGTTTAATTCCCAATCAGGGCACATGCCTCAGTTGTGGCCTCGATCCCCAGTGTGGGGCGTGCAGGAAGTAACTGATCAATGATTCTCTCATCATTGATGTTTCTGTGTCTCTCTCCCTCTCCCTTCCTCTCTGAAATCAATAAAAACATATTTTAAAAAATAAATAATAAAAACCCACACTTTAATAAGTTTGAAAAAGTAATATTTATCAGAATTTTAGAGTTATCACCCAAAATTGTGAACTCTACATAATTAAAAATGATAAAGGAAATATGAGCATTCTAAAAAATCTGAAATGACTCCAGATTTGTTTCCTTGAGGGTTTTAATGGCTCAGGAGTGCGGTATTACAGACAGGTGTTAAACTTCCTAAAAAACTCAAAAAAGCTTGATAACTTTGTTTCTTCTGTTTAGGAAGCATTTACCTTACTAAAAGTAAGCACAGTTCAAAGAGATGAACATTTTAATACTCTTTCCACATAAAGAATTCAGTTTGTTTTTGCTTTAAAAAAAAACAACTTCAGAAGCTAAATAAGTTATTTACGTGTTTAAAATAATAACTCACAGTGTTCAAAAAATTATCTGACACATTTATAATGCAAAGCTACAGCATTTAGTTCCTGCCTGGTAGCATCAGTAAATCACAGACAGACAGTGTCATTTTTTAAAATCTTATACATGCTTTGCATTTTAATTCTGAGATCAATAAACTCATGGTTAGTTTTGTTTAGCTGACAACAAACTTCAAAAGGGAATTTAAAGGAAATATGAAATCCAACTTAGCTCCATGGTCTTTGAAACAGAGCAAAAGTTGCCTCTCCAGTACCTCAGGAGAACTTCCCTCCTTAGGGCTGAGTTCAGAACTACAGATGCATCAGCTTCTATTTCTGAGCTGTTCTTAAAACAATTTTCTTTGATAGCTTACCTGGGTAACAGTGAAGATTTCACCCTGCGCACCTGCTGCCTGCAAAATCTTCAGAAGTGGCGGTTTTGGTCGTACCTAATAAAAACATAAAATAATCCTGATACAGTGGGGCCTTGACTTACGAGTGTCCCGACTAACGAGTTTTTCGAGATACAAGCCATCTCTCGGCCGATTTTTTGCTTTGAGTTGCGAGCTAAAATTCGGTTTACGAGCCAGCTTCAGATACCCCACCACTAGTTGGCGCAGCGAACGTCACAATGAACGCCACATCAGCCCAGCATCACGTGTCTCACGCGTTCACTTTATGATTTGACATACGAGTAATTTGAGTTACAAGCTCCGTCTCGGAACGAATTAAACTCGTAAGTCAAGGCCCCACTGTATTTACATTTCAATTAGATTGATTTCTGATACCATAGGGAACGAGATCCTCCTTCAACTTTTTAAACTTATCTAATCTATAATAATAAAAGCCTAATATGCTAATTAGACCGGACAGCCGAATGACCTTCCGGACAAAGCCAGGGCTGCAAGGGCCAGGCCCATTGCATGAATTTCGTGCATCGGGCCTCTAGTATTATATAATCTTTCAAAGCATAAAGTAACTACAGATGAACAGACTACTTCCTGAAAAATCATACTTTCAAAAGATAGCACATTCACACTACTAAATGGCTATAAGAGGAAAAAAGAAAAGATGTGTTGGTGAGAATGTGGAGTGATTGGAACCCTTGTGCACCGCTGGTGGGAACATGAAATGGCGCAGCTGCAGTGGAAAATAGTTTGACAGTTCTTCAAAAAGTTAAACATAGGATCTGCACATTACCCAGCAGTTCCACTCATAGGTATACACCAAAAAGAACTGAAAGCAGGGACTCAAGCAACTATCTGTACACCAGTGCTCATAGCAGCATTATTCACAATAGTCCAAAGATAGAAATCACCCAAATACCCTTGGCAGATAAACATATAAACAAGGCATAATGACTTTGTTTGCTATCTCTTGACTCTGACTATGGAGTCTGTCTTTAGCCACACAATTTAGTTTTCTAAATTGTATATAGTCAAAGTTTGTCTCTCTCTTCCTCTTACAGCCTCCACAGTTATCATAAGGCCTCCCTCATTCTAAAGTTTCACAAGTATTTCGTAAATTTTCTTCCAGTATTCTTAATCATTTCATTTTTTACATTTAAGTATCTATCTGCAATTTGTTTTTACATAAGGTTTGAGGTCTTAATTTGTGTCCTTCCAGAGATAGCAAATTACATCAAAACCATGTATTATAGGGCACATTTTCCCATCAAATCCAAATTCCACCATTTTAATAAAATGAGCTACATAATATTACATAGTGTACAATTTTTATGAAAACACAAAACAAAATGACATTATTTTGGTATGTTAGAGGAAAAGATCTGGAACAAGACACACCAAATTGATTAACAGTGTTATGTTAGGGGAAAGGGACTTTGGGGAAAGGCATGGGTCAAAAAAGTCTCTATACTGCCCAACCAGTGTGGCTCAGTGGTTGAGCATCAACCATGGTTCAATTCCAGTCAGGGCACATGCCTGGGTTGCAGGCTCAGACCCCAGTAGGGGATGTGCAGGAGACAGCCAATCAAGGATTCTCTCTCATCACTGATATTTCTATTTCTCTCCCTCTCCCTTCCTCTCTGAAGTCAATAAAAATACATTTTTTAAAAAAACCACTATAAATACTTTAGATACATTATAAAGTTTGAATCTTTTCTAAGAATACATTTGCTATATTTTAAAATTTTAAAGAAAACAAATTAGAATGAAGTGAGAGACAAAAACTAATTTACATAACTTGGTCCCAAACTCCTCACTAGCCACCTGTATCCTAAAACACTCTAGTTTTCAAAATGTACCCTTAAGCAATCAGTAACTTCTATACATTTTATGGAATCAATGATCCATTCAAATTTATGAGCATTAATACTGTTTACTAGTTTCCCTAATATGACATTTTAAAATAATACTTCTGCTCTCTATAAAAGCCTACAGTCAGTGAAGCCAGCTACATCCCCAACTCAATTTATTTACTTTTTTTAACTTAAAGAGAAATAGGAATGCCTAAAAACATCTTACCTGCTTGATCTGTCTTGGAGAGCTCCTGCAAGCACTGTCAGATGTTGAACACTGGGCAGAGGTAGAAAGTGATGCCATTTTGACAGTGAAGAAATTAGTCTGTTGATAAATCTAAAAGGATAAAAAATTACAAAATCTCTTCTGAAGTAGAAAATTCTCTCTAAGATTTACAAAAAAAGCAGCCAGCAGAAATAAGACACGTCAGAACGCCCTACACAACTGTAATATACCCATGCTGAGATGCTTGATACATTTCTGGTTACTTTCTAGTTCAGATACTGCAAAAAACTGAAGAGCTAAATCAAGAGTAAGAACCATCTATGCAATCTACCAACTTTGCTTCTGGAACAAGAAACTTGTTAAAGTTTCAAAGGTGGGACTGAGGGGACCAAAGTTTTGCCACCCCAGAAAATGCCTTTTGGGATATTGAGTTAAGCTGGTTATTAGGAAACAAAAGACTCAGAAAGAACTTTGACATCCCCCCCCTTTTACTTGCCTAAAAGAATTCAGATAGAAAAACCTGCTTAAAAGAAGGGACATTAATATCATAATATAAACGAAACGTGTCAGGGAGAAATCTAGCAAAGCCGGTTTCCTTTAGTCCCTTGTTTGTGGGTGGCCCAGCAAGAATTTGTTTATCACATGTTTGCTCTTTCTCTTGAGATAAGTGGGGAGAAAATAAGGTGAAGTATGGGCAGTCCTTTGACAGGAGCTCAGCCTGTTAGGAAGAAAGATTTACTACTTTTGATTGGTTAAAGCAACAGTCCAGAAAGTTCATGCATATGCAGGATTCGGATGCCTGGGGGTTGATTCAAAGCTCCAATATACGTATATTCCGGAATGTAAGCACTCTTTTGCTAATTGGCCCACAGCTAATAACTGTTAATTATTCCTGTTTCTTCTCACTCTCAAACAGCTATATTTAGACCATCTGAAATTTTCTCTGGTCAATGGCAACTAAATTCTTACAAATTGGGTTAAACCAAGGTGGACATATATCATCAAGGAAAGATACAGCATGAATTGAAATAGAGAGTAAGATTTCATTTCATATTCTCACCTCTACCTTTTCTCCTTAAAGAAAAACTGTAGGAAAGGAAAATGGCAATTTTAAATAAACTTGCTTGAGTTTACTTCAGGCCTTTTTCTAGTAAAAAGGTGACAATCAGTGAGATTTATGAACAAGCCACATCAGGGAAAGGGTGAAAAGAGCCTAGAAAAGCCAATAGTCTAGCTAAAACTAACAAGATTCCTCACTCTTCAGAGAAGACTTAACTATTACAGGCATAAATTTCTCCTTCCTATCAGCTTCCCTTGCTACAAAAAAGGGCAGTCTAATAGGATACAAGCATAGCTTACATTTTAAAACAGCTAGCTTTTAATTGGCATTTCAAACCTAATAAATAAAATAGGGGCTCCAAATAACTTCCCTCCCACTTTCTAAGTTCTCCTAGCTGGGCTAATAATCAAGTTAACAGAGAGATTAACAGAAAATCAAATTTTTAATATATATGCACAAGGAATTCACATAAGCATGAAAATTCCAAAGACAGTGAGGCAAAATTGGGTATATATGGCATTTTAGACAAAAGAGAAAAGGAGGGAATGGGACCTTAGATTTCAAAAGTGAGAATTGGCCATTTACAGGTAACTGAGGAAGAGTGGAACATACAGGCCACATAAATTTCTGCTAAGCAACCAGTGAGATGCTGTGAGGGGTGGCTAGTTACTGAGCCCCTCCTATCCACCACACTCAATTCAGATTGGGCTAAGGTGGAGAGTTCCACCTGAAACTCTCAGGCAAGAAAGAAGAAGAGGGTCAAAGTTTCTTTGAGTCTTGTTTCTTAATAACCAGTTTAAAATCAATATCCTAAGAGGCAGCTTTAGGTAGACAAAATTTTGGTCCCCTTCAAAACCAATCCTGATCTCCCCAAACCTGCTAGCTCTGTAGTCTTGCTCATTTCAGTAAATGGCAACTCCATCCTTCAGTAGCTCAGGTTAATGACTTTAAAACCATCCTTAATTTCCTTTTTCTCTCACTCCACACCCAGTCCATAAATAAATTCTGAAGCTGTCTTCAAAATGTATTCAAAATCTAAGCACTTCTCCCTATACTAATCCAACCACCCATCTCCAAACTGCATTAGCCTTTTTAAAGTTTTCTTGCTTCTGATGCCGGAGGGGTAAGTCTCTAGGGGAGACTTGAGCCCGAGCCAAGAGGGTTCTTGGCTTCATGAAGGAAAGATTTCAAGGCTCAAACAAGACGAGAGGTTAAAACCAGAGCAAGTGTATTGAGCAGAGAGGATAAGCAAGAAAAGCTACTTCACGGAGTAATGGGACCTCCTCACAAGAGGAGAGAAGACCCCAACTGACTGTAGAAGTTGAGCTTGTAGCTGTTTTTAGTTTCTATGGGAAATTACTGGTATGGGGAAATAGAGAGTGGGCAAAAACATTGGGGTTAACTTTAACCTTTTTTTAAAATATATTTTTATTGATTTCAGAGAGGAAGGGAGAGATAGAAACATCAATGATGGGAGAGAATCATTGATTGGCTGCCTTCTGCACGCCCCACACTGGGGATTGAGCCCGCATCCCGCGTATGTATCAAACCCAGGACCCTTCAGTCCACAGGACGTCACTCTACCCACTGAATCAAACCGGCTAGGGCAATGGTCAGCAAACTGCGGCTCGGCAAACCGTGGCTCGCAAGCCACATGCGGCTCTTTGGCCCCTTGAGTGTGGCTCTTCCACAAAATACCGACTTCTGTGCATGGGCCACAAAGTTTCAATCGCACTGTACATGCGCACCCACACGTGGTATTTTGTGGAAGAGTCACACTCAAGGGGCCAAAGAGCCGCATGTGGCTCTCGAGCCGCGGTTTGCCGACCACGGGGCTAGGGCAACTTTAACCTTTAAGAGGTATATTTTGTGGTCTGTTTTCCTTTTATGGTACAGGTAGTATTAATCAATCTTTGCAGGAATTTTCTTCGTTCTGGGGGCTCCTTGCAGTCCACTTGCATCTCTGTGTCAGGTAGCACATAGCAGGCCCTGACTTACTTTTTTTTTTATATATATTTTTATTGATTTCAGAGAGGAAGGGAGAGGGAGACAGAAACATAAATGATGAGAATCATTAATCAGATGCCTCCTACATGCCCCTACTGGGGATCGAGCCCACAACCGGGCTGTGCCCTTGACTGGAATCAAACCTGGGACCCAAAGGCTGACACTCATCCACTGAGCCAAACTGGCTAGGGCTAACTTTCTTTGACTTAAACTAACTTATATAGTTCTCATGCCCCTCTTCTATTCCACCTTTGCTCCTCTCGCTCCTAACCTCCTCCTCTTGTCTTTGCTCAAATGTCAGTTCCCATTTTTCAAACTGCAACTCCCAACCCCCAGAGTTCCCTCTCTCTTCTTGCTTAAATTTTCTTCACAGGACATGTTACCAACCAACACACTACACATTTTAATTATTTATCATGTAAAATATAAGCTACAAGTAGGGAGGGATTTGTATTTATTTGTTCATTAATATATTCCCAGTGCCTAAGATAACTATTATATACATGGCACAGCAACATAATGGGCACAAATATTAATAATAGTGTGGATGATTTCCAAAAACGGTCCCCAATGAATCACATCTCCCAACTGGCTCTGTGACATAAGCTAATCAATAGGACACAACTGTTAAACAAACAGTTTTAACTTCCAAGGGGGAATGTCTTTTATAAAAGAAAGGATTAGGTCATTGACAGCAAGAAAGACTAGGTCCTGGAGCAGGAAGCCTGACTACCAGCAGCATAGCTAAGTGAAGAGACACGTCTACTGTCCTGGCAAGTGTGTGTGTGTGTGTGTGTGTGTGTGTGTGTAAATGTAAATCATTCTGAAAGAATTTACATTAGCTATAGACAGAGGGGGTGGGAGAAACTGAACTGAAACAGGGCCAGCTCTGGGAGAGACAGAGTCAGCAAGAAAGAAGTGTCAGCTCCTATGGACTAGCTGAGGGCAGTGGACTGGAAAAGTTCATGTTCATGTAAATAAAAAGCGGAGACTCCTGGGGTTCTATGATGTCTGGCTATTCTCCTTTGGATAATTTTAAAAATAGCCACCTACAAATTAAGCCCAAATTCCAACAGATATACAGGAATGTAAGCAGTCTTTTGTCAGAGATGGTCCACGGCTAATAACAGGCTAACTGTTCTCTCTCATTCTCCAGCAGCTGTAACTTAATTCAGAACATCTCAGAATTTTTTTTCTAGTCATAGAAGAACCAAAATGTCCCAATTCCAGGCCTGGCAGCTTCATTTTTATGTTCTTCAAAGCCCCTAAAATCTGCTACTCTACTGGAGATGCCACAGAAAGAACATGTGGATGTCACCCCAATAAATTTAACTTAAGGGGGAAAAAGGGATATCTGGAGAGTCTTATTTGTTCATCTGAGCCCCAGCCTTTCAGGCATACATACCCTGAAAAAGCAACACACGTCTTCAGTTTAGCCCCAGCTGACACTTGTCTACAGCTAAATGACAAACCACAAATGAAACCACCAGAAAAACCACATCTCAGCCCACAGAACGGTAATAAATAAACAAACAAAATAGCTGTTGCTACCCACTAAATTGTTTGGTGGTTTATTGCATAGCATTAGATAAAACAAATGGCAAAGACTTAGAGAGTTTACTCTGTACCAGGCACATAATATTAACCCATTTAATATTAGATATTCCTATGATGTAGGCAATGTTATCTTTATTTTATAGATGAGGCAGGAGAAGCATAAGGATGTGCCAATTAATAAACTGCTGCAGTCAAAATGTCAAACTCAGAAGCGCTCTTAAGTCCCCACTATTGGCATTTTTTCCCTTTAGACCTCAAGTGCACAGAATTTACACAATCCTTTCCTTCACGACATACTCTCACTATTCATCCATACCTGGCTCACTTCTACCTGATTCTTAATAATGCAATAAGCATCCCTGGCCGTGCTCAGGGGCTCAGTGGTCAGAGTGTTGTCCCATACACTAAAAGGCGGCAGGTTCAATTTCCAGTCAGGTCACATAACCCAGATTGCAGGTTGGGGCATGTATAGGAGGTAATCAAATGA